GGAATTCAAAATGGCCGCCGTATAGGTGAAAAAGTCTAAGAAAAGATAAGAGATAAGATAACTTTATTTATACACGGTTTTTACATCAGTCAACAAAGTTACTGGACTATCTACCTATCTGCCTAACTATAATAAAAATTAAAAAAAAAATCTGCTTTTCATGGAGGCCGTGTCTAAAAATTTACTTGAAATTAAGATATTACTTTAAACTGTGGTGACCTAATTTAGATTTGAAATCGGTCAGTGAAGATGCTTGTCTTAGGTCTATAGGTAAGTTGTTCCACAACTGAGCTCCGCTGTACGAAAAACTTCTCTTAAGATAATCAGTTCGAGGTTTGAAAGAACTAATTTGTTTTCGGTATTCCTTAAACGATAAGCATTTACGTTGTCACGATATCAGGTAATCAGGTGTCATACCATTTAATGTTTTATACATTAGGATAGACTTCCGTTCCAATCTTTGATAGTGCCCGGAACAAATCATCCAAATTAATATCATAGCTCGCAGACGTTAGGGTGCGAGCTGCGTGGTTTTGAAGCCTTTGCAGTTTTTCAGAATGTACGCGGATGATACCTGCCTGACGCTTGCCAGCACTGACATTGAGCAAATAAATTATCGCCTTAATCACGACCTGAGTAATGTGTACGAATGGCTGTCTGCTAACAAGCTTACCCTAAATATGACAAAAACTGAGTTTATGCTTATTGCATCAAGGCAGAAGTTATCACAATTTATGGAAAATCTTCTCTTACTATAAACGAGAATGCAGTAGAACAAGTAACCTCGATCCGCTAAATCCCTTAGAGTTTATGTCGCTCAAAATATAAACTGGGAGTGTCATATTGAAAATATCTCTAAAGGCTGGTTTCCATATGATCGCAGACGGTCGCGGATCGCGGATCGCAGATCACAAAAAGTTCTGCGATCGTCTGCGATCATATGGAAACACACTTCCGATCCTGCTTTTACATTTAGCTTTTACATTTAAATATTTTATGTGACTCAATTGATAGTACCACTGTTATATTTGTAAATTACCGTACTTTAGGTAATTTAAGATTGTAAATGTACTCGTTAATTCAGTTGTTTTACTGCAAGAGAGTTTTTAATAAACTACTTTACCTGCGTTCGTGATCGCAGACGATCGCAGACGATCGCAGAAGATAGAACTATGTTCTATCTTCTGAGATCATCTGCGATCGTCTGCGATCGTCTGCGATCAATTGCGATCGTGTGATCATATGGAAACCAAAGTTC